TAAGCCGAGGAAGCATGGTCATAATACTTAAATGGGAAGACAATAGGAGGGGAGACTAAATAATCTATGAGACTAAATAATATATGAGGATTAATATTCCCAAGGATAACAAATAACTATAAAAAGGAAGCATATCAGTTTTGATATTAATTAAAACTAAAGTTTTACAAAGATAATGATTCTGAAATTTTATACTGAAAGATGTCAAATGCAAGTATAGAAAAGCAATATGAAGTGGATATATTATATTGAAATTATCCTATGCTATGAAAAATCTCTTTATAAACTATGTTCTTCGTATAATTCCATCCTGGACTTTGAGGAACATTGCTGTTATCAATAACTATTTTCAGACCTGATCTTTCTTGCACTCTGGATAATGCTACATAGAGCTGACCATGGGTGAAAACTGGTTGTGGCAAGTAAATACCAACCTTTTTTAATGTCTGACCTTGGCTTTTATTAATAGTCATTGCATAACACACTCGCACTGGGAATTGTCACCTCTTCAGAACAAATGGTAGAGTAACATTTTCTGGTTTCAAACTGATTCTGGGGATATTGACGAGGTTGCCGACATGAGATCCTGTAAGTATAACTGCTTCAATAACTTTCGTTGCTAATCTGGTTATTATTAATCTTGTTCCATTACAAATACCAGCATTCTGTTTTAAATTCCTCATCAGCATTATAGGTGCTCCAACTTTCAATCTTAATTGATGTAAGGGGAGATTTGCAAACTCCAGTGAGTTCAAATATTCTTCTGCATAATTCAAAGGTTGATGATTGCTCTGCCCTGCTAATCTTTCCACTGAATCATAACTCAAATAGATGTATTCTAATTCTGGAATTCTATCCAACAGCAAATCATTGATGTAAGTTACGAAGCTATTTTTTGGAGTGACAATTGATCTTTCACTTAAGTAAGTATGATTATCATGCTGATTTTCAAATTCTAAATATATAACATCAATGAGGTGAGATACTGTATTTTCTCCAAATGGAATGAGTAAATCTTCAGGAATTTCAATCCATTTTCCTTCTTCACCCTCTTCACATTGTACACCTAGTGCTGTTCCATCACCTATACTCAAAATCCATTTTGAAAACTGTTCTACTTTTGCTTTTTGAGTGTTAGTTAACTGATTTGAAAGCAGCCTCATGTTCTTTCTAAGGTTTAATATTTGACAATTCATCCACAAAAAAGAAGTACAAATTGAAGCATTTACCACTTCACTTCTTGTTGCTTTCTTGATGACAAGTAAGCATTGACGAAAATCACCTCCCATGACAACTGTCTTACCTCCAAATGGCAGTTCTTTAGCTCTTGCAATTTTACCATCCATTAAATCTTGTAATGTGTGGTGGACTGCCTCAAAACAATGTTTATGATCCATAGGAGCTTCATCCCATATAATAACATCTGCTAATTGTATTAATTTACAGAGTTGATCCTGCTTGCTTATACCACAAAGGCTATCCTTAAACATTTCTCGTGGAATATTGAACCTAGAATGTGCTGTTCGACCTCTTGGAAGTAGTAGTGTTGCAATACCAGAAGATGCAGTTGGCAATGGCAATCCATTTCTAGCTTTGACTCTATACAAAATAGTCTTATATAAGTGAGTTTTACCAGTTCCACCTGGTCCATTAATGAAAAATAGCTTGCCTTCTTTGTTATTGATTGACTGCATTATTTGATGAAATGCCTCTAGTTGATCTTCATTCAATGTAGAAAATAACTGATTGAATTCTTGTTCTACATCAGCTTTATTAAAATTTAACTCTTCAAAAATAAGAGCATTTGTTGTGTTCTGAATTAATGTCGTATCTGGTTGATGCAGACCATGTTCTTGCAAATAGGAGCCATTTCTACAAGCAATCTCTCAATTTCAAAAAGTGTATAATTCTTTAGTTGTTCCTTAGTTAGCTGTAACTCAGCTGGCTGCATGATGTGTCGCCACTGGTGTAAAATTCCATCAGAAAGCTTTAGCCATGTTTTATCCCACAAAGTTGCACTATCTGTCACTTCACAATGCATGAGTATCATCACAAACATTTCTCTAAGAGTATGACCAATTTTCCATTGAAAAGCTTCATTTATAGATTCTTCCCATTCTTTATCTTCTCCAATGAGTCCCATTGAATAGCATGCTTATTTGAAAGTATCATATTGATGACCTTCAACTGTATATAAATCACTGAAACAGGTTGGTCCCCTAATATGTTGCAACAACAATCTCCAATAGTATTTTTCACCTACAGTAACATGAATATATTAGAAACAAAACTATTGTAATTTATTAGAGAATTTTAAAAGCATAGTATTTCAATTTATTTAATTTTAACTTACCTACAGTAGGAGGTACGTAATATAATCTTCCAATCATATTCTCTCGTTTTCTGGGTGTCCAACTCTTTTTTTGTTTATTCCACACCCATTTTGTTGGAAATTCTAGATATGTTAATGCTCTAGCTTCTGTGAATTTAGCATTTGTTGCCATCCATTCTGTGAACATGGATTTCTGTATTCCTTCTCTCTGCAATACTTTGCGCAAATCTTGATCTTCACAAAAACCCACCATGTGATTATACTGAAGATGGAATTGGAGACGTTCAACAGCTGGATTTCTACCATGAATAGGAAACTCATTTAATCTCCAGTGTGCCTCGCAAGGTGTGATGTATCTACAGTCCAGGTATTGTTTGATTTCATCATATACAACTTCATCTGTTGAGTTTCCTTCTAACCCCCTTACCTCAGTAATAGTTGCACGTGTTCTATCTAGACCTTTAGTTATATATTTGAATAAATATTTCACTGAGTGATCAAGGCAGCAAACTAAAACACAAATATGAGCATGAAAAAATTGTAGTAAATCTGCATTATAAGGAACTACCCATTTGTTATCCAGCTTAACGCCATTTTTTTCTACAAATTGGCCATCATTTCGCCTTCTATAGATAGGGAAGCCTACTTTGTCTAGCATAGTTGTCTCACTAAATGCTTGAGGAAAACCTTTAGAACATTTTCCATTTTTCATGCATGCAGCCTTTGGGAATTTTTTACCACAAGGATTATGAATATGGAATTTCTTTACCAGTTCATAAAGCACTGGACTTGTCTCTTTATCTGGTATTTCTGTACTTATTCGGTTATCTACATCTTCTAATGTTCTGGGCTTATTGGGTGGATCAACCCAAAGCAAGATGTGAACATGTGGTAATCCCCTCTTCTGGAATTCAATTGTATATACAACTACAATCAACAAAAATTTAAAGAAAGTAGTTAGCATATATCATTTATCAGCTCTTTAAATAATGGCATACATATTAGTATATTACCATAGTTAAATTTTTAAATATTGTAACATCAGTGTTTAAAACTACTTACTTGCTTCTTGTTTTCCAAAAT